CTCGCCGACGTAATTCCCAAGCTTCCCCGTTCAAAGATTATCCATTTTGGTCAGAAATTGGCTCAGAAATCGGCTGGAGCAATGTGTCAACTGGGTATAACAGAAGGAAGACTCGCCAACATAGTTTTGGAACTTGCACGTTCCAATATTTGCCATTTTGGTCAGAAATTGGCTCAGAAATCGGCTGGAACAATGTTTCAACAGGCTCTAACAGAAGGAAGACTCGCCGACGTAATTCTGGAACTTGCACGTTCCAATATTATCCATTTTGGTCAGAAATTGGCTCAGAAATCGGCTGGAACAATGTGTCAACAGGCTCTAACAGAAGGAAGACTCGCCGACGTAATTCCCAAGCTTCCCCGTTCAAAGATTATCCATTTTGGTCAGAAATTGGCTCAGAAATCGGCTGGAGCAATGTGTCAACTGGGTATAACAGAAGGAAGACTCGCCAACATAGTTTTGGAACTTGCACGTTCCAATATTTGCCATTTTGGTCAGAAATTGGCTCAGAAATCGGCTGGAACAATGTTTCAACGGGCTTTAACAGAAGGAAGATTCGCCGACGTAATTCTGGAACTTGCACGTTCCAATATTATCCATTTTGGTCAGAAATTGGCTCAGAAATCGGCTGGAACAATGTGTCAACAGGCTCTAACAGAAGGAAGACTCGCCGACGTAATTCCCAAGCTTCCCCGTTCAAAGATTATCCATTTTGGTCAGAAATTGGCTCAGAAATCGGCTGGAGCAATGTTTCAACTGGGTGTAACAGAAGGAAGACTCGCCGACGTAATTCTGGAACTTGCACGTTCCAATATTATCCATTTTGGTCAGAAATTGGCTCAGAAATCGGCTGGAACAATGTGTCAACAGGCTCTAACAGAAGGAAGACTCGCCGACGTAGTTCCCAAGCTTGCCGTTCAAAGATTATCCATTTTGGTCAGATATTTGGCTCAGAAATCGGCTGGAGCGATGTTTCAACGAGCTATAACAGAATGAAGACTCGCCGACGTAATTCTGGAACTTGCACGTTCCAATATTTGCCATTTTGGTCAGAAATTGGCTCAGAAATCGGCTGGAACAATGTGTCAACAGGCTCTAACAGAAGGAAGACTCGCCGACGTAATTCTGGAACTTGCACGTTCCAATATTATCCATTTTGGTCAGAAATTGGCTCAGAAATCGGCTGGAACAATGTGTCAACAGGCTCTAACAGAAGGAAGACTCGCCGACGTAGTTCCCAAGCTTCCCCGTTCAAAGATTATCCATTTTGGTCAGAAATTGGCTCAGAAATCGGCTGGAGCAATGTGTCAACAGGCTCTAACAGAAGGAAGAATCGCCGACGTAATTCCCAAGCTTCCCCGTTCAAAGATTATCCATTTTGGTCAGAAATTGGCTCAGAAATCGGCTGGAGCAATGTTTCAACTGGGTGTAACAGAAGGAAGATTCGCCGACGTAATTCTGGAACTTGCTCGTTCCAATATTATCCATTTTGGTCAGAAATTGGCTCAGAAATCGGCTGGAGCAATGTGTCAACAGGCTCTAACAGAAGGAAGAATCGCCGACGTAATTCCCAAGCTTCCCCGTTCAAAGATTATCCATTTTGGTCAGAAATTGGCTCAGAAATCGGCTGGAGCGATGTTTCAACTGGGTGTTACAGAATGAAGACTCGCCGCCGTAATTCTGGAACTTGCACGTTCCAATATTATCCATTTTGGTCAGAAATTGGCTCAGAAATCGGCTGGAACAATGTGTCAACAGGCTCTAACAGAAGGAGGAATCGCCGACGTAGTTCCCAAGCTTCCCCGTTCAAAGATTATCCATTTTGGTCAGAAATTGGCTCAGAAATCGGCTGGAGCGATGTTTCAACGAGCTATAACAGAAGGAAGACTCGCCGACGTAATTCTGGAACTTGCACGTTCCAATATTATCCATTTTGGTCAGAAATTGGCTCAGAAATCGGCTGGAGCGATGTTTCAACGAGCTATAACAGAAGGAAGACTCGCCGACGTAATTCTGGAACTTGCACGTTCCAATATTATCCATTTTGGTCAGAAATTGGCTCAGAAATCGGCTGGAACAATGTGTCAACAGGCTCTAACAGAAGGAAGAATCGCCGACGTAATTCCCAAGCTTCCCCGTTCAAAGATTATCCATTTTGGTCAGAAATTGGCTCAGAAATCGGCTGGAGCGATGTTTCAACGAGCTATAACAGAAGGAAGACTCGCCGACGTAATTCTGGAACTTGCACGTTCCAATATTATCCATTTTGGTCAGAAATTGGCTCAGAAATCGGCTGGAACAATGTGTCAACAGGCTCTAACAGAAGGAAGAATCGCCGACGTAATTCCCAAGCTTCCCCGTTCAAAGATTATCCATTTTGGTCAGAAATTGGCTCAGAAATCGGCTGGAGCAATGTTTCAACTGGGTGTAACAGAAGGAAGACTCGCCGACGTAATTCTGGAACTTGCACGTTCCAATATCATCCATTTTGGTCAGAAATTGGCTCAGAAATCGGCTGGAACAATGTGTCAACAGGCTCTAACAGAAGGAGGAATCGCCGACGTAGTTCCCAAGCTTCCCCGTTCAAAGATTATCCATTTTGGTCAGAAATTGGCTCAGAAATCGGCTGGAGCGATGTTTCAACGAGCTATAACAGAAGGAAGACTCGCCGACGTAATTGTGGAACTTGCACGTTCCAATATTATCCATTTTGGTCAGAAATTGGCTCAGAAATCGGCTGGAACAATGTGTCAACAGGCTCTAACAGAAGGAAGAATCGCCGACGTAATTCCCAAGCTTCCCCGTTCAAAGATTATCCATTTTGGTCAGAAATTGGCTCAGAAATCGGCTGGAGCGATGTTTCAACGAGCTATAACAGAAGGAAGACTCGCCGACGTAATTCTGGAACTTGCACGTTCCAATATTATCCATTTTGGTCAGAAATTGGCTCAGAAATCGCTGGAACAATGTGTCAACAGGCTCTAACAGAAGGAAGAATCGCCGACGTAATTCCCAAGCTTCCCCGTTCAAAGATTATCCATTTTGGTCAGAAATTGGCTCAGAAATCGGCTGGAGCGATGTTTCAACGAGCTATAACAGAAGGAAGACTCGCCGACGTAATTCTGGAACTTGCACGTTCCAATATCATCCATTTTGGTCATAAATTAGCCCAAGAATTGTCTGGAACAGTGCGTCAAATTGGATTTGTTTACAACTGCCCCCGTCTAATTTGGAAAATTTACAAGAATGTTCCTTAAACCATCCGGGAGGGAAAGCTATTCCGAATCTGCAAAAATCGCTGTTGGATACATAAAAACTTCTTATCAACGCTCTATCGATGACAAAATTAACGTAAAACAGGAATTTACGGGTTATACATTCAAGAAAATCAAGTTTGTCTGCGAATGTAAGTTACATGTGCAACAAAAACTGTTATGCTGCTGCACAACGCCAACGGCTGTTTTGAACGAAAATCTCGACTTCCAATGATCGATTCCGCACACATTTTCGATCTGGAACACAATCTAAAAAAATGATTTTTCCCTATCGATAATATTATTATATTATAATAATATTATACAAACAGTGTTTTACAGCGATTTTCAGTACAAATACACGATTTCTGGCAGAAATAAATGCTTGTTTTTCTGTCCGCCTCTTTCTTTGTCGAGGCACGACTTTTCTCTGTCTTTTTCTGCGCGGCAGTTTTGCGCCGGCTTTGCTCCGCCCCTGATTCGGCGCGCGTTGCTGTTTTAGCTGACGAGAGCAAAAAATATGCAATAAGTAAGACCTGGATTGTAAATATGAGATTTTTGAAATTAAAAATGAAACTTAAAAGGTTTTTAGGAAATATTTCGCAGAGTCGTCATAATTTACCAAATGTACTGTTATCAATTTATTGGTTTTTCAAGATTTTCTCGAGCGAATATTCCCTCTTTTCATAGATTTCCGACTATGAATGTACGAACTTTGCTCCTTCAAAACTCCTGAAACATCAGAAAATGCCAAAAAATAGCTTCAATTACATTTTTAAACCATTTTTTGCTGAATATGATTACATTTCGGAAGACGTATTTGATCGGTACGTTCACCAGCATTTTGAACAGTCTGAAAAGCGAACATCACCACAATTTAAGGAATTGAGCTCGGAAGCTTACGAAAATCTAATTCGAACAGTCTCACCTTTATTTTATTTCAAATATCAGTTTTTAAATACACAAGAAAGGATCACAAAAAAAATTGGTGAGATTATGGGGGTGGGGATTATAAAGTATTAGGTATATTCAGAGATGCATTATCATTAATGATGGATGGAGTCGGCTGGAGCAGCTTAGGCACGTTCTCCACGGATGCGACGAGCCAATTGGATGTCCTTTGGCATGATGGTAACGCGCTTGGCGTGGATGGCGCACAAGTTGGTGTCTTCGAAGAGTCCGACGAGATAAGCCTCAGATGCCTCTTGGAGAGCTCCGACAGCGGCCGATTGGAAGCGGAGATCGGTCTTGAAGTCTTGGGCTGAAATTTCAGAAATTTAGGAATGGACTATAATCATCGATCCTCATATTAGTGACGGATGCCTAGATACTCACCAATCTCGCGAACGAGACGCTGGAATGGGAGCTTGCGGATGAGAAGCTCGGTCGACTTCTGGTAGCGACGAATCTCACGAAGAGCGACAGTTCCCGGACGGTAGCGATGTGGCTTCTTGACTCCTCCAGTGGTTGGAGCCGACTTGCGAGCAGCCTGTAAGATGAATTTTATTGATTCCTTCTTGTTTTTGTTGTTGTTACCTTGGTAGCAAGTTGCTTACGTGGAGCCTTTCCTCCGGTGGATTTACGAGCGGTTTGCTTGGTACGAGCCATTGCAGCAGTGGTTCACCTGAAAGTAACACAACATTTCTTGAAACAGTAAGAAAGACGTTTCAAGGATATATTAGATTGAGAAGCAAGTCGAAGAATGAGCGAAAATGCATGGGCGGCGCATATAATATACGACTCGGCACGACCGCGACGCGGCACGCACCGCATCATATGAAAAGTGGAAGAAATCTTGTGACTGGAGGCTTAGACAAAAAATGTTAGCCTTATAGAGGCCTGGTTGTTAAGAGACAAGGCACATGAGCAGGTGATATAGTGCGTGTTGCTGAGTAGACGTGAGAGAAAGAAGAGAAAAACTAATCTATTCATGTGATATTTATTTTGGAGTAACTGAGAGCAGACGTGACTATACAATTTGTTCATGGATTCCGAACTACACACAAATGAAGAAGAGAGAAAATAAGAAAACTGGAAGATATGGAATATTTAAATTAAGAAATAATTGTGTTGAAAGCTGAAACATGATAAAACCTAAGAGAAACGTTGATTTCTACAAGAAGTAATTGTTCGAGAGAAAAGAAATAAAGCTTTCGGATCGATTAAATGAAAGAGAAGTGAGAAGAAGAGAGTGAGGACAGCGGGGAAAAGGCCGAAATATGAGTGTGGTGTTGGTTGAGAGACGGCGATTGAGCGGTTGAGTGTTAGAAAGAAAGAGCGTTGAGACAACATTGGTAGTCCTAGTATAAAGAACTGGGCAACAAAAAAAATAGTGAGATAGTGAAAGAGAACACACACGAGAAGGTATCGATGACACAAAAACTACATGTGTTTGACAATAAAAAGTTGAAGATATGGATATGACATTGAATTAAAGCTGAAGGAAGGGCAAAAAAACACAAAGATGTACAGTACCGGTCCATCAGATATTAAAAACGTATTTTTTGTTGATTTTAGGCCGATTTTTGACCTAGATTGAAAACTTTGCGTTCACAGAATTTTTCAAATATTTGCCGATTTCTGAAGACACTTCTCATCAGCCCGTTTTTGTACTGAAAACGTGAAAACCCCGGTGTTTTTGAAAAATCGGCAATAAGCTGAAATTTGAATAGAAATTTTCGAAAAATTCTGTAACTTCAAAATTTTCAATATAGGGCTGTTTCACATTCCCCCCCCCCCCCAAAAAAAAGTTTTAAATCATCGAAAACTTGACAGCTGAGCTATATACTTCTGAAAATGGTCAAAATGGCCAAAAATCACCAGAAAAATGCGTTTTTGTATATCTTATTGATCGGTACTGTATTGGATTCGCGAATTTCTTATTTTTTTAAAAGTAATGTTGTTCACTGTTAGAAAGGTAGAGGTGGTTTCCAAGAAAGGTCCCTAAATGAAGAAATGACCATGGAAAAACTTAAACTTTTGATGTCCATTTCATCTGAAAATTAAACTCAAAACCAGACCAACAATATTGGATATAATCGACCTTTGTATTCTACACATGTGCCTCTCGGGTCCGAAACTCTCAAGATTTTTTTTCCGAACAGTCGTTAAAAATGTAAGAGCTGTGGTTATTTTTTGTTCTAGGGCCAGATGTTCCGCTTTACAATGAAATGTTGTTGTGTGTTGTGGCTTGCTTGGATATCATGTTTGCCGAATTTTAAAGATAATATGCTTTTTACCAAAATTGTCTCTTCCCCCTTCATATCATATCATCTCAATTCTTCGAACATGACTCAGAATATTTGGCTAGCTGACTGGAGTATTTCCCGAAAATGATCACGAAAAATGTCAAGACAGAAGACGTCAAATTGTCACAGTTTCTCTATATATCAATTGTGACTCTTCAGCTAACTGACCCCTTAACATCGAACAAAGTTCTTTGTGTCTTGAGATGGTTTAGTGAATGCGCCAGCAACATGATGCCATTCGTCTTCTTCAGCAAAAACAAATTCGACCATATCAGTCGTGAATGGTCTCACACAACTACGTATCAGAATATTTCGCTGACAGACTGGATTACATCTAGGAAAATGGGAAATGAGAAGTTAAAGTGTATGGAACTTTGTATAAAATGAAGTAGTTCTGGATAGAAATGAAGGTAAGCAGAGATTTCTGATTTTTCTTGTTTGATCCATTAATTTCTATATGTTTTGGGCTTTTTGCAAGTTCGAAGAAAACATTGATGATCTGGCATAACTATGTTTCTCATAAGCCAGATATTGCGTAAGTCTGACGTTTTCGTGAAACGACCACCGGGATAAGAACAGATAAAATGAAAAGTGTTTCATAGAAAACAATAATTCCGGCTGAAAAGGAACTTTCCCTCGGCATACCTAAAAATATAATTGTATTAAATTGGGCATCCTAGACAAGTGGATCCCCAATTTTCCTTTTCAATTCTATTTTTTGCTATGAACTTCGAAATCTTATTGTATCGATTCAGCTTTGTCGGATTCAAGGCTCCTAAAATGACGGAATTCCGGATTTCTGAAGCTTTAAATCAAAACTAAATAGTACTTATTTTCAAAAGTCATTAAATTTATTTTTACCATTTTCACAAATCTGAAATATTCTTACTGCAAATTCTGAAATTTTAAAAAAATTGGATATTTTCTGGAATCCCAAAACTTTGATGAAGGCTAAAAAAATCCTTTGATTCTAAAATTGGAAAACGGAGAATTTTGAAATATCCGAATATTGAGAATTTCAGCATATTTAAAACTTGAATTTTTTTAAATATTCCAAGCTTCCGAAATTTTCGAAAAATTTCCTTCAGCACACCCTCGTCTCTCAAAAAATTTTAGCGAACCCAAATACAACAGTGGAAAATTCCCAAACCCTAAAAATTGGTCAAATTGCAACAATTGAAGCATCTCCAATTTTCAATAGAAACTTTATACTGTAATTTCATCTGTCTCAACTATCCCCGAAAAATTTTAAAGTTGCCCATTGTTTTCGAGACCGCCAACATTTGCTAAAAAATTCAAGCAATAATCAACAGTTGGATGCCTTTGTTTTTAAATTTCAAGTTTCCATGAACTCTAGAAATTTCATATTTACCGTAATCTCTTTTCGTTTAAATTCACGAACCTACTGCCCGTTTGTTCCATGACCATGGAATACTGTCTTTCACGAAACTGATGTTTTTCTGATCTGTCGGTTTCACTCATTCCGTCATTCAGGAACTTTCTCTCTCTTTCTCTCTTTCCACATCAATCCTTTTCGTTTTGCCAATACTTCTTTGATTTTATAGATTTATTAAAAAACCAGTTTATTTTTTTTTACTTTCAAATGGAGAAAAAACAGTATCTCAGTTTACCGTAGTCTCTATGACAACTTCCTCCCTTTTTTCCATCTCTCATTCCGCTGATATCCTTTTGATCACCCAAAACTGTTAATCAGTTCGCTGTGTTACTTTTTGTACGCGGCTAACCTTTCCCCTTTTCTCCACTTTTCTAAATGATATGATAGTAGCGGAGAAATTTGTTGAAGAAGAAGAAAAAGAATGGGTCGAGAAGAAACAGACGTGTGATTGTGTCGTTGAAATGGAGACGTAGAGAAATTGGAGAGGAGAGAGGAAACTGTTATACCGGTCTGGGGGCGGGGTCCCAGGAGGAATAAGAGACAAGATGGCCCTGCTTTAAAACAGACCCTCAACAGCGACTGTTTGTTTACTTTTTGTTTACTGTAGAAAGTGTAACAATATTCTATATTTCTTTGATTCTTCACAAGCTTGAAGTCTCTAAATATTTTTCATCTTCTGTTTTTCAGGGATGTTTGCCATCAAATCTGGAGCTCAAATTGCATCTGCCTTGGTTGCTAAGAATGGTGGGTAAATGGAAATATAATTTTTTTAAAATCGAAATTAAGTTTTAGCCAAAGCTCAAACGCAACTGAGATTGTCCAACGCAGTGTCCACAAGCTACCGTAAGACGAGGGAATTAGCCTCTGTTGGGTCGGACCACGAATCTCCATCTCTGGTGATTTTCGACAAGGACGGTACTCTCCTATGTTTCCACACCATGTGGATTCCATGGATCCATCATGCAGCTCAAAGGTAATTTTTAGACAGTTACTGTAATCACTAGTAATTTAATATACAGATTAAAACAGAATTAGGCTTTCAGAATAAAAAAAAGTTTTTTCTAGACTTCTGAAGCGTAGTTTTTGTATGAGATTGGTTGTTTTTATTTATTAGACTGTTTTCGTTCTCGTTATCAATTCTTCTATGAGAACCTATCCCTTTTTGCAGACTGATAGAGTTCGTTAATCTGGTTTATCGAATTCCTAGAAATGGTCATTTTTGAAAAAGAAAAATGTGATCAATTTCTCGGGACAGCGTTCAAAGGTTCTCTGAAAAAACTTGTTTCTGCACTAACTGAAGCCAAAATTCCACATCACAAAATATTGTAGATTCTCGTAAATTTCTAGTTTGAACATTGTCCTCCCTTATCATCATAGTCAGGAACTTCATTCTTCTTCCGTATATAGATACCAAGATCAAAGACTCTAGGAAGTAGATGTTTACTGTCACAGATGTCGTAGAATCTTTAGAAGAATGTCATCGTCACATGTGTTTTTTGGCTTTAGGCTTTGTTCTTCTTATCATTATCATATCCTCCTCCCTATCTGGTGCCACGTGTTTACCGTAACATGTTCCTTATTGCATAGATTTCATTGAAATAACTACGATTCTGCTAGGCGACTTTTGTTATCTCGGAATCATCAATGATCGTCAAACGTCATTGACATTATGATCTTTAAAGGTGAGTGGGGGAGAAAGAAGAGAACCTGGGGAAAATGTGTCCACGACATCTAACGTTATCTCTAGGTATTCCCCCAAGTCAAACAATCTTGTGATGGTCATGAATTGTAGGTTCTCTAGGTCATTTTATAGTGTGAAATAGTATAAGATTCGAAAGATAATATTAGAATCACGTGAATAGTCTGTGATAAACTTTGTGATTGGTTTTGCCAAAGAACGATATATCACAAAAACACAAAAAAATTGTTTAGCATCGAAAACTCAACTGGTCTGGCTGTCTTCCCAAAAATTGCCCAAGCTCTTGGACTGTGTTTGGTGGAGAATAAAGTGAAGCCAGGACTACTTGCTGAAGGAACTACTAGCCAAATTGCTCACGAGATCTCTACCATTCTCATGGACAACGGGATCAAATCATTCGAAGCTAGAGAGCTTGCCATTAGCTCGTTGGCTACATCAAACGACCAGATTATTGCAAATGAGCTGGTTAAAGAGCTCTCTGATACCGTGGCTCTCTTCACTAGACTGAAACAACATGGCACCAAAATTGCTGTATGTACCGCAGATAATAGGGAAAGTTCTCTTCTGGCTCTGAAACGTATGAATGTTGATCATATGGTTGATATGGTTGTTTGTGGAGACGACAAGAATACCGTACCAAAACCGTCTCCACACAATGCCTTGAAGATCTGCCAGTACCTGAATGTAGAACCATCGGTAGGCTCGAACAGTGGAGAATTTTGATTCTAAAATCATCAGATTCTAGAAATCCATCATGGTCGGTGACACTCGTGTCGACATGGAAATGGCTCACAATGCGGAGCTCGGAGCAGCAGTAGGAGTCTTGTCAGGCATCGGATGTAAAGACCATCTTCATCGAGCTGATATCCTTTTGGATCATGTCGGTCATTTGGTTAACGCTTTCTATGAAACCAGGATATAACTTCTAAAACTCCACTTTTATCAATTTTTGCACACATTTTACTGTAGATATGTATTTTGTTGCTACTCTTAATCTTTTGAAGTGTAACTTTAATTTTCATTCGAATAAAACAAATACAAAGTAGAGTTGGTTGAAGGCGTATGGACAGTTTGCAAAAAGAAGTAGTGATGGAATAAAAAAAAAAAGGAAAGTTAAGTAAGAAAAATAAAAGACAGAAAAATTTAAAAGATGGTTTCAAAGAAGAAGAAGAAGAAGAAAGAAAAGAATGAATGGGCGAATGACGTTGAAAAACACCGAATGATTTTGGTTTTATTGAGAGTTGGAATCTGGTGTTCCCGATATAATAAATTAGAATTAAACACGAATTTTTAAGCTTTCTCGCCTTGACATTGCACATAACTTGCTGGGAATAGACCAATCTGGAATTTTTTTCAATAATATTAACTTAGAAACTTTCAAAAACTCACAGTTCCATTCACTCGTCCTGTGCACCATCCCAAAGAGTCTGGCTCGGTGAGCACCTCTATCGTCTCACCCTTTCTGAGCCCAATCTCATCTCCTTCCGCTGGAGCGTAGTCATAGAGAACCACAGCTGGCTTGCTGGTTGTGAACTCCTCAAAATCTCCATATTTCGCAGAATCTGGAGTTTCCGTGGAGAGTGAAGGAGAGTCGGGACCTTCAGATGGATGCCAAGATGGAGGATGAATAGCTGGGTGTGGTTGATTCTTGTACTTGTTGGTAGCAGAGTTATGCTTCCGACTATCAAAAGTGCTGGTGTCAGAGTCGCTGCTGCTCTGAAACAAAAACTTCATCGTTTACTTAAAAAATTTTACTATTTAATCACTAAATTACCTTTGGGCTACTCTTTCCAACATCATCATGATTTGAAGCAGTGTTGACTGCAACTGATGGAAGTGTATTCGAGTGAGTAGACGGAATATCTTCACTTCTATTGATTTGCCTTGTAAGAATAACACCTCCTGCAGCTTCCTTAGTTGATCCTCGAGCAGTAATATTGCGAATTTCTGGAGAGTATTCCACAAAGTTTGGCCAGTCAGAGTTGGCATCTACTCCGTTTACTCTGGACCATTGAGCCAAGTCTCTTTTAATAGCTTCTGTATCAGCTGATCTGATAGATTGCTCGAGTTGTTGGTGCAACCCGGACATTCTGAAACACCAATTTCGTTGAACTGGACTTTTGAAACTTCTACTTACTGGCTAGTTCTGATCAAATCTGCGTAATGTTTCTGTGTCTTTTGAACCACGCCAATCAAGAATTGAGATCTATCCATTTCCTTGTCCTGACACATTTTGAACACATGTGCCATTGCTTCCATGTAGACATTTCTGGAAATTTCTTGTTATCTTCATCTATCAAACATCATTGACAGAAGACAGAGAACTTTGAATTCTCGATCTCGGTCTCGATTTTGTTTGGGTTCTTGCAGAGTGCGTAGAACCGAAGGCACACCCGATTTTGTTTTTTTCATCGAGAACATTCCGAGGTCATAACACATAACGTCTTCTCTGTGTTCTCTTATCATTCGTCCCCACTCACTTATACTCGTTGAGGTTCGTCAACGTCTTCTGATAGTCGGTTTTTGTTTTCTGCACTTCCTCCTTCAATTTCTCATGACGTTCTCGGAACTTGATGGCAGCGTCTTGCGACACAGATGTGTCTGTCTGAAAGTTCACGTAATTAGTGGGGTGATATGGGTTGACTAGAAAGCAACGGAAGGACACATAGAACGAAAAAAAAGATGGAACAGTAACTATGAATTTAGGGGACAGTTTCCTGGTTTTTTACACATTTTTTTTTCAATTTTCGAATCGAAATATGCTGCTCTGATAATGATGGACAATTTACGAAATCGCTTATTTCGAAATTTCAATGATAGAATTTGGCACAAAAATTTTAAAATTTGATTTCAAGTAAAAAATCAGCTGAATCACGCAAAACGTGCAAGACAACATTTTTCATAGTTATCCGTCCAGGCAGATATTTCTTAAGTACGATTCTCAGTGTTCCATCTCGATCTACAGTACCGGTCAATAAGATATTAAAAAAATTCAGTTCATTCTCAGATATTTCAACCTTTTTCAGAAGTTTGTAGCTCGGCTGCCTAGTTTTCGATCAATTTGGAATTTTTGAAAAATTTAAAAAAAACCTAGGTTGAAAACTTGCCATTCAAAAATTCCTAGTTCTGCAGTTATTTGAAGAAATCTGAAAGACACCTGTTTTTTCACGTTTTCAGAACAAAAGCGAGCCAATAGGGGGTGCCATTTAGAAAACGGCAAAAAAACTACAAATTTTCGAACAATTCTGTTAATGCAGTTTTGAATCTGATTGACCGTTACTGTATATAAATTTCCACCAACCCCTGTCACCCTTACCTGACTGTTCTGCATGTTCACGGCCGCCGACTTTTCCTGACGGCACACATTATAATACTTGCTGCGTTTATCCTCCAACTTATCAACCAACTTCTTCCATGGCTTTTGCGCCTGAAACGATTCAATTTTCACGCATTAGTACACTTTCATACTTGAACTTTAATCGGTAATATCAATACTATGCGCACGAAAGAGACAATGAAAAAGAGATGGGTTCTATGGGCAAACAAAAGGTCGATTGACTCTCTATATTAAAATTATGAATTTATATCAGTACGCACCTTCTCAAAATGATCCTCGATTTCCCGAATTTCCTTTGGTCCCTTGAACACTGAAGTGTGAAGACTTTCTTTGCGATAGTTGGAAGTTTGTTTTACAATCTGAAAAATTCAGAGCATGTCTTGCACTTTATGATGTCACTGCTTACGTCATCGATCAAATTTTCTTTCAGATTGTTATGAACTCTTGCGAGCGCTGCCGATTCTCCAATAAGCTCGTGCCAGACAGTCTTCACAGATCCGGCAGATACAGTACGATCAACCTGAGCTCTCCATTTCTCAGCATGTTGTGAAAGCATTTTACTGTACTTTGCCTCGATTTCAGCTCTCTCACGGCTCATCTTGCAATAGTCGTCGAGTTGCTCAACACCATCCTGAAAAAATGAGAACAATGGAAAAAATTCGTGTTTGTTTAAAATTTCAAGGATGCAACAATGATATCGGAAGTGGCAAACGCGGAAATACCTTGAATCGCTTGACATTGTGCTTGTAGCTGCCAACTTCCCAGAATCCGGGTGCCAAAACGTCGGCTGCCATGCTGAAAAATAAATTTAGTGGAGGTGTGAGGCAGAAAAGTGAAAAATTTTTTGTTTGAAATTTAACGATTGGAAAAGTACGTGTGGATGAGCTGTATGGAATGTGAAGTGCACAAGAGGGAAGGAGAAAATGACAATGATAAGAAACAATGTTATTTTGCATTTATCAAACCAACACGCCTCTTGTTTAAAAACTTGATTCATTTCTATGTTGGTCTAGTGTCACAGATTTTGTAAGTCTCTCTGAATGTGGTAGTTCATTAGAATGAGTGCATAGAATTACGAAATGAGCTTTCCAGGTGTGTATGGGGGATAATCCCAACTAATTAAGAATGCTTCCCTATTCACGTAAACATTCTCTGAATGAATCTGAATTGAAAATAGAATATTCACATGTTCGATGAGCCTGAAACGGAATGAATGAAATGAAGGGAGCTCGTAGTTATGGTGAATCGTAAAATATAAAAAATTAAGCTAATAGACTGAGACCGCAAAATCGAGAAAAAGTTATAAAAGACACCACAAATTTATCGAAGTTTTCGAAATGTTCAGAGAGCATACAAGCAAAAGACGTTCTTTCACCGGTGTATGTGATCGGAATAAGAATTGAAAATGTTCAGAGCAAAAAAAGTTGGAATATGGAGGGAACAGTACAGCCTAATCGTCTCCTCCGGAGGGCGCACTTATGCAAACACTAAACCGCCACTAGATGACCTGATTTTAGAGCCACCGGCTGGTCGCGTCGTCGCTTCTCCATGAGCATGAGTCAAAGAATTACCTCGAGTTTCGTTTTTTACAAAATTAGAACGTTTTGAAGATATTGGGTTACCAAAAACGGTCAAACGATAAGTGAGTAAACGGAGAAGAATCGTCGGCAAACAAACCATGTGGTCCTTTGTTCGATTGAAATGTGACCATGAACCAAAGTTTTTTGGTGAAAAACGGGAGTAATTGAATAGGGGATCTGTGAGGGACACTGACAGGAATTTATAAATGTTGAATGTTGTAAAAAGATGTAAAAGATGGAACGCACTTATTACGGAACGCTTTTTTATGCTGAAAAAGTAGAATGAAACCAAACTGAGTTATTACTGGATTAAAGATGAATTGCAGGTTTTCACCAGGTGCTCATAACGTTTTACAATTGTACAAATGCCGAGGATGATCTGTAGAGAATGAATAAAAACGACTGGAACGCTACAATTATAAATTTTATTACTATTTCTAGAAATAGTCTAAAATGATGTCAACTAGAAAAACTTGTGAACGCAAAAGAAACATCTGAAATTGAACACCTGATGCAAATTTAAAAAACAGAAAGAAATGAAAAACAAGACGAGCCGTTTTCATAGTGAGTTTGTCGTTTTCACATTGTGTTAATTGTTCAATCTTCTCGCTGACCACCCCGTTTCTCTCTCTCTGTGTTGTTTATTGTAGCGGAACGAGCACTTTTTTGCGCGAAACGAGCTTCCAAAAACAGAAAAGGAAATAAAGATGACAATGAGTTGAACAAACGAACAGGGACGATCCAGAGGTAAGAAACGGCAAGAGAAAAAGGAGAAGAAAAGTTCATTCGAGCAAAACGACAAGCGCCCCGGCAACGCGAACGAGCGCGCGCGGCCACTGGCGGCGGAGCCACGAGCAGCTTGTAAACATGATTTGTTTGCAAGGACATTGAAGACGAGGCATACAGTTTTAAAAACAATAGACAACCAGAAACACGTCGGGAAAAACGGGAGATTGAGGATGAGAAAAAGAGAAAGAGAATTTCGAGTCAATCTTCCTGAGCCGGAGCACGAAAGCGAATGGGAGAAGGCGGTGGCGGCTTACAAGCAAAATACGTTCTTTCACCGGTGTATGTGATCGGAATAGGCACCGAATTATCGGTAGAGAAGGATTACACGATGAGCTCAAGGAAAAATGAAACGAGAAACAGGAGCACGGCATTTGTTTGGGAAAATACCTATGAAAAGTGCAAATACGGTATTATTCTAGCATTAAAACATTGGAGATGTGGGAGGGAAAAGCTTGTGGGTGTGGCCAAAACCACCACAACCTAAAATTTTCCGTATTTTTTCTCAATTGCCTTTTGAGACATTTTGTGTTGGAAACCCGAAAAGTAAAAGTTGTCTAGAATACCGGCAATAAATATATTAAAAACGCGTTTTGACTTTGGTCATTCGCAGAAGTTTAGAGCCCGGCTGTCAAATGTCCGATCACTTTGAAAGTTTTGGAAGTTATAAACAGACCTATTGAAAATTTTGCATTTTCTGAATTTTTTGAAAGTTCCTAATTTTTCAGCTTTTTACGGATTTCTAAAAAAAAACCTGGTTTTTCCTGTTTCCAGTATATGAACAGGAAAATAAGGTGTCTTTTAAGAATTGGCAATTAGCTAAATAACTAGGAACTTTCAAAACATTCTGCAAATACAAAGTTTTCAATCTAGGTCGGTTTCAGACCCTCCAAAATTTTTGAAGAGAGCGGGAAAACATGAAAACTAAAAATGCTTGCTGAGTACGGTAGTATACCGTAGCAGTGGCCACGAGAATTTTTTCCACGGCTCCAATTTTTGCGCACCAGCATAATAAAAATTCAAAACAAAAAAATCCGCTCAGACAAACGAACTAAAAAAAGTTTCATCTTTAATGGTTACCAAATTAGTCAGACCCAAAAAAAAAACAGAAAAACAAATTCAAAATAACTATCCTTGCTAACCAGGACTTTAGCCAACTGTGGAATAACAAGTATGGCAAGTCACTAATGAATGCCAAACACCACCACAAGACGCAATCATCAAAACATGGAAAGCAACAAGTAAAAGCGGTGAGGAATTTACTCAACCACACCTTCTTCCTTCCTCCAGATATGAAGACCTAGATATGGTTCGACCCCATCTGTGGTATGTTTCTCGAAAAGGACGGAAAAAGAATACGGAGAAGAAGAAGAATGTTGTTGTATTCAGAATAGGAACGTTTTCTTCATCGGGTTACTTTTCTTTTCGAGAAGAAGTGCAGCAGCAGTTCGCATTGTATTAATAAACGGAAAGATTCAGTGAACGGATAAAGAATTTGCATAGGTCATACACATATACAGATACACTCGAATCGGCCAGTACACAACATTCTTCTGATGAGAGAGAAAAGGAAGAACACATCGTAAAAAGGTGTGAGAAGATTGGAAACGATTGGGTGAGACTAACAGTTAGACAGATGGAAGGGGAGAAGTTGTCTGGGATTCTGTTTCATTTCCTAGAATAAGGGAGAGACAGAAGGCTTTATTAGAAACGAGTGATTTGAATGAAATCAACCGGTTCCAAGGCCGCATGGGGTTTCCAGAAGAGGAGAAGAAAGTCCCGGAGGGAGGTGATATAAATTATTATTATGTGAATTCAGGTGATGACAATGTAAACAATGATTATGACATCATAAATTTAGTTATTCAAGCGTGCGAAACATATTGATGCTAAATTTATGACGAGCGCAAACTGTATGAATATTCCTTCATCTGATAGTACACTTACTTATCACTGACAACTGAGCTTATAAAAGTAAAAAGTCAATATATTACGAGAAACTAATACAGAACTCTCGAAAAAATTAAAAAGGTTTTTGAATACTAGAATTACAGTAAATGGCCTGATATAATGGCACCTTATTCCTGCGCCTTGAGCCTGAAGATCTAGGTTTATGTGAGAAAATGACAACTTTGCAAATCATGAACGTGTTGAAGATACTATAGCTATTAGAAAAAGCACAGTATAGAAATTCAGATGAACCTTTCCAATCTCAGAGAAAATTTTCGAATTATTTTGCTATTAGTGCGTTTCGAAAAATTCTGAACTGTGGGAAAGAAGCGCCGGTGGCCGTGGCTGAAGGTCTCTAACGACAACTAACGTAACCTAAAAATCTTCTTGTTTTCCGGACTTATTCATTTGATTTTTATGCGTTTCAGTCAATTTTTCACCAACAAAAATTGAATTTCCCGAGTTGTCCGGAGAAAAATAACAGGAAACTCGATGAAAAGCAGTAAAAATAAGAAAATGAAAACGAAAAAGCACATTGTTTTTAGGTTATGGTAGTTTTAGTTGTGAAATCTTCGGTCACGGCCACCGGCGTTTTCCCATGACATTTCCGATTTTCATTAACCAGAATAATACGGAGATACCTCTAGCAAGTTAAAAAACAATTTATGAAAAAATCAAAATGCTTCCAAACAAACTACATCCAGAACGTTTTAAATTAGGTAAAGTTTCTAAACAAAAAAAAACACGAAAACCGACAAGTGGACTGTGTCCGAGGGATACTTGTGTATTTTCCCCTTACTTTGTTGGTTTACCTAATTTGTTCAAGGCTTTCTCAGTAACATCTTCAGAAAGTGACTCATTTGGCATTTCGGAAGGAATTTCAAAAGCTAGGAGTACTAGGAAATGGAAGGAACTCGTAAATCAAGTGAAATGCGAAACAGACAACAGCTTGTATTTGAAAATGTCGATTTCTTGTAAGACAGAGGGGTGGCGATGGTGGGATCACAAGACGCAGACATGAATAGCTACACTGTGAGGAGTAACCTGGCAGCTGGCCCACAGATTTCGGGTTTAGTGCTTTTCTAGTGTTTATATACAATAGCGTTATGCTCGGTATCTCAATAGAAGCTCATCAATACAAAAAAGGCCAGATGTTTTTGTTTGGAACTTTCATTATATAAATACTTGCAAAAATAGCATAACTATTTAAACTGATTCTTTACTCAAATCGGACTTACCATGGAGAGCATATCATTATGATTCAGCTAATTGATTTTAGAGAAAAATAGACTAGTTGAACGCAGGTGAGAAAATAGAACCTCGTGTTTAGGAGAAGAAAAAAGTGATTCAAAAAGGCATTTGAAGTGTAAACTGTCAATAACTGATTAGGCGAGAAACACAAGCACACACACAACATCGGCAAATCAAAAGAGTGAGAGCAGAGAGTGCTGTAATAGCATTTAGAGTAAAAAAGTACGAGCCGAAAAAAAACCGCAGACAGGTTTCCAAAGATCAATTCTTAAAAAGCAGATGTTTATGATTCAACCACTTCATATATTCACCTTTTGATAGCAATGAAGAGGAAAAATGAAAAAGAAGGAAGTGAAAGTCAATGGTTTTCGGAAGCAAAGTGAGCGAAGTGTCTAAGAGCTTCCAGGTGGAAAGACAAATGCCTTTTTTTGACAGTTGTTGTGTAATTGTGAAGCGCAGACACTTCACAGAGCGAAACACGATACATGGCATTTTGAGGGCGAACGGTAAGATAGAAAAAAAACAAGAAGAGAAGAAGAAGAAAGCGAAACTAGACATTGGCAATATGCGGGATCAAATTCCGATCCTCACTTTGTTACCACTTGGCAGATGCCGATGACTTCTTATTCTCCTTTTCCCCCTCTTTCTTACTTCTCATCTCATCGTTTTTTGTTTCGGTTACCGAGGACACAAGTCGGCGAAAGCAATTATGGAAAACGAAAACATGGGGTTGATGATGATGAGGATGGGCTGATGGATGAATGGACCCGAAGGACACGAGACGCAGAATTTAAAAGAACGGTACTAGTGAAGTGAAAGAGCACACGACTGTATAAATATAAGCTCAAGAGCCGTTTATGTGATGGTGCATGACGAGGAGGCTCTCTTTTCGAAAAACGAACGCAACACCCTTTCCACGTTTTGAGAAGAAAAGTGAACGGGAGAAGTTGAGGAACGTGCATGCATGACAACATTGTTTTTATAGCGGATTAGAATTAGCACGTTGGTTTTGGCTTCTATTGGCTCAACACCGAGATCAACAGGTTTGGAAGAACAAAAGTTCAAAAATTGGAGGATTTCACTGTTGTCTATTGGTTCATTGAACCAATATGACTAACAAACAGGTGTAAACACTCTAACGAAATGTCCTCAAAACGTTAACTTTGAGCTATCTCGGTTTCTGTAAAAGATGTCAAACAGAGATCGACTGATTAAATATTTTAGACATTGTATAAACATTTTTTTCAGTTGACAACTTCTTCATATCTAACACAGTAAATTATATAAATGGGCTCTAAGAAAAAAGTTAGGAGGTTCATTCCATCTATTGGATTGTTTAGGTGTTTTCGAATTTCGGAGAAAAAAGATTTTGAAGAATTTCACTATTCTTTGCAGTATATCAAATATTTCGATTTTTGAAAAAGATATCAAAAATTTATCAACTGATAAAATATTTGTGAATTATGGCAAATAATTTATCTGTTGACACATTTTTCAAAACTTTTACAGGAACCGAGATAATTGAGCTGAAATGTGACGGTTTGGGCAAGTTCTATTAAATTCTAAAATTATTTTTTCACTTTTTTATCAAATTTGAACTTACTGTTTCATTTTCACTGGGGACTCCATTTCGAGGAAGCAGGCTTCAAATACAATTCCGTAAATAAGGTTTATTTTTATAATATATATGATGCGGTTTTTTTCACCAAATGATGCTAACTCAATGAAATTCTTTGTATACTTTTCTGAAAATCCTAATCGCAAACAAAAAAGCCCTGTGAATGATATTTTTTCCAAAAGCATACAGTGTTTGGTGGAAAAAACCACTGGCCAAAACTAATACCGCATCTGTTATTCTGAAAAGAGGAACACAACAAAAATTTCGGAAGAAAACGTCACTTGATTTTCAGTTTAAAAGACTTTACAAAATATAATTTGGACGACCGAAAAACGATGTTTTAGTTCAAAAGTCATCGCCACTCAATTTCGCATTTCTTCAATTCCTCCTCCCCGCCTTTTTTGTTGCAATAAAATCTGGAATTGTACGCTAAACGATCGTAATGGTGTGACGCCATAGTTTTTTGGGGCGAAATTCGTGTGTACAGCATCTTGAGAGTAATACTGTCGGATTTGAATTTGTACATTTGCAACAAGCAAGCAAAGGGATGTTGGGAATCACATATACAGTCAATAGGATGAACAAAAACGTGCTTTTCAGTCGATTTTGACCACTTTCAGAAGCCTGGAGTCCGTCAAAAATGAAATCACTTTGAAAACATTCTGGATCGTAAAAAAACGTAAACTGAAAACATAGTATTCGCAGAAATTCCCAAAAAATCGTTGTTTTTCAGATGTTTGTCGATTTCTAAAAAGCACTTTCATTTTCACGTTTTTCGTGCAAGAATTGGCCACCGATGGGTGTCTTTCAGAAATGGGCAAAAAGAAATGGGAAAAAAGAAAACTAGGGATTTTCAAAAAATTCTGTGAATGCAAAAGTTTTCAATCAATGTCCTGAAAATGGTCAGAATGGCCAAGAATCAACTGACAAATACGTTTTTTGATGTCTCATTTCCCGGTACTATAGGTTAAAATTGACTTTAAAAAAATCATAACGTTGATGATAATTTTCAGAAATGGTTTGCCTTTTGCAGTTTTTACAGATTTCTCAAAGGGTATTACTGTAACTGATATTTCAGATCTTAGATTCCACAGTTCACCCAAAAACTGACCCATGATCTTTAGCTCTCCCAGTTTTCTTGCCTCCCATAATTACCATAATCTACTCGCCCATGTGTTTTGTTTCAAACAGCCCCAAGGCAGTCTTATGTTTTTCAATTTGCCTTAAGTCGGCTCTTTTTTTCCTTTTCCGTCTTTTTTTAACGAAGAAACAAAATGAAATTCGAAGCAGTTGCTTGCTATTTTTTTTCATCTTGCCTTCTTCAATTTTCCTCTCATTTGTGAAAATCTTTGCTGTAAATTGATATGTATGGATTTCAAGAAGGAGAGAGAGAGAGAGAGAGAGAGAGAGAGAGAGAGAGAGAGAGAGAGGAGGGTGGATTCTGGAACAAAATGATTTCTTTTGTAGTCGTATACTTTCAGATCCGATTCAATGCACGTCAATATGCCTCAGAAATATTGATAGTGCAGCCCAAAAAATGTAGCTGTTTTCAGTTGAATTTTAAGAAAATGAGGTGTCTGAAAAAGTGATTTCCTTTAGCAACTTTCAAAAAAGTTGAAAATTAGTGCTAAATCGTGAAAACAGATTGATGAATCCTGTAGAGTATAGATGCTACATCTTCAGTACCCTATTTGTGAAAAACTCTTCTACTTGAAATAATTAAAGTGTGTTCTGGCCGACAGGAAAATGTATAACCACCGATCTAAAACTGTGAATAGTAAAATTTGATTCCCTCATTGGGATGTACAGTGTTTATAAAAAATATCTTTTCATTTCTCTGAAATCGTACATTTATAGTTTACGCGATTTCTAATCCCCGATTCTCAAACGCTCTTCTTCATTTTTTGTTGTTTTTTTTACTTCCTATACATTCTTCTGTTTGTGCATTTCCTCTACCCATATCTGCTTCCACCACACACTCAGAAAAAAGGAGCCCATTATTGCTCACTCAAAAACGTTTGTCCTCTGTTTTCCGGTGTCAATATCCGTCTTCCTCCAAACAAGGAGGTCCCGGACCCACCTCCATAAACCCCTGCCACTCATACGAAAATGGTCAACTTCCTTCAATGCTTTTTCTGATTTATAGTTCCATCTGCATAGTGTGGTTGACCCAATTTCCGCGAAAGCAGTAAAAACGAACACATAAAAAGGGCAGCCCCAGCTAACAAAAAGACGTCTCCATCTCTTCTTTTCCCCCTACTGTGTCATCTCTTACGAGTTAACCCTATCCATTCTAATTTTGGTGCTCGCCCCGTCTTCTACTGCTGCTTCACAATGCTTTGTCGACGCCATGCCCTTTCTTTTCTTCCAGCTCGTCTCCATATCTGTTGTATAGCTCCGGCGGTTCCCTTCCACATCTATCCATTCCTTGCGATAATTTCGTACTAAGAAGATCCTGGGTGGCCTTCTTGGGGCGGCAAATGGGTGCCGGGGGCAGCTGTTGCGGAGGACACCATGTATTTCTATTTAGCCCCATTGGTTCTCGTCATAAAACTGGTGGAGCTGGAGGCTCGTGTTTCTTCACGGACCATCATCATCATTTTCCGGCTTGGCAGCTTCCGCACGACCATTTTCTCATTTGCATAACCATATGTCAAAGAGAACAGACGATTGTGTCGTCTCAAAATTTATTTGAGTGTTCTCAAACTCATCAGATGTTTTGTCTGAACAACGAATAGGCGTTTATGGTCCCCCATGTTTTTTGTTGACATCAAAAGAGTTGTTCCGTACAGCTCATAAATTTTTTATTTTGACCGGATGTCAGTATGTTTTCTTTGTCTTGGAAACTTTTTGTACTTTCGGAAATGTGTTGTAGGTTTTCACCTGTTTTAGAAGTACATTAAACATAATATACCGTAAGCACTCTAATATTTCGTCACTCCTACCTTTCAACTTCGAGTGAATTTATCTCATTTCGTATGAATGATATCAAAAAGTGGTGAACAAATTAAATGATTATCATAATGTTAGAAACATTTTGTTAGTTGAACCTTTTTTGTTATCTTACACAGAAAATGAGATATAGGGGCTCAAAGTTGACGGCGTGGGGACGTTCCATCAAAGCGGTTAGGGATGATCATTCTTATCACAAATATGTGAAGTTGTGTCTTTTTTTCTTTCTTTCTCTCTCGTTTTGTATGTTTGTTACCACATTTTTGAAAAGCTTGAAAACTAAATATAATTCGACTCAACCGTTTGAGAAAGATATATCAAACGTGAGGAGCGCAGTGACAGACAGTAAAATTAATTGGTTAAATCGCACAGGAGGCGTGGCAAATAAGCTGATTAATTTCCAAATTAGTGCCACCAAGATGCCGTAAGTAACCAAGTTTCCATATGATTTTCTCCTTCGTTTTTTTTCTCAACTTTCAAAAAAAAAATTGAAACATCAAACTTCCAATGTCCAAAACCTGTTGAACTTGAACTAACTCGTAGCATCAAAGTCTAATCCCCCCAACACTTACATTTTTCTCCATTCAATCTATTCTAAATCGTTCATCAACCCGTTGACACCACCATTTTCTAATCAATCTTTTTATATTTGCATAATCTTCTAACTGATTGATGGGTGTCCCTTGGTTTGATGGCTCCATGAGTCTAGGAGAAAAATTCCTTTCTCCTTCTTTCGTCTACCCTTTTTTGTCTCTCTCTCTGTGAAAAAAAGAACGTTTGGACTGGAGAACTTCTCTTCTCAGTGTGAATTCCTGAATTCCCCAATGACATTTTGTCTATATAGTGATGTGAAATCGATGCTTGAAGCACTCCATCCCATTTTCTTTCCGCTCTTCCTCTTTTTTCGTCCATTTAGGCAATGTCATTTGATGTGTAGACTAGTTTGGGTCTCAGCCGGCTCCCTAATTAAACATTTCGCTCAGATCTGTTTCACTAAATTCCGCGTCTCCTGTGCATTTCTCGAACCTTACTTCTTTGTTGCTTTTAAGCGTTTTTCGCTTCACTTGACAAGGGGCTCGGCATCAAAGACAATGTGAGAAAGCACAGAAGCACATAAGTGGGCACTGGGGTTTCCGCAAATTGCATGATTCGCTTGACAGACATACACACAAGTTCAACTCCATTGCCCCTTTTGTCTATTTTTGCTCTTCACAACTCTCTCCCTCTCTCTTTTTCTATCTTCCTTTTTTTGCAACAATATTTTTGTTTTTCCAGCGGCTCTATCTTCTTCCAACGCACGCAATCGTTAAGAGAATGGCGGATGAGACAGTTGAGATTCAAACTGCAACTAGCCAGCACGTGGCTCGCCGCTCAAAACTCGACGAGCTTCTACAGTCGGTGGCAAACGGTGGTGCGACACCTCGGAGCAACTCGTGGAGCCGGGAACAGCAGGCGGATATGGAGGTCCACCATCTCACACAATCTGCTCGCTCGCCAAGAAGCAAGGCAAGTCAGGGCTATCTGTCTTATTCCGGGAGGCCCCTCTTTCCTTTTTTTTTCGTTGCGCGACTTCCGATTCACGCGGTTTTTTTCTTGAGTTACTCTTACTTCTTACAAACCACACAAAACAATTGCATACATATTTCGTCCTTTTTTCGATGTGTGTGTGTTTTTTTTCATTTTCCTACAGTAGCGAGGTCGTTTCAGTAGTACTCGGTTTCCGGTTTTCTGAAGGCGACTGGAGTAGAAAATTATTAGAGGAATCAGATTTCAATTTTTCAATTTTTGTGAAATCGATTTATTGGGCATTTACCATGAACATAGTACCATGAACTTGGAATTTTTGAACCTTCATTGCTCTTTCTCCAGTTAGGAATTAAAATTGGAGAATTCTGAATTTGTCAGTTGATTTTGACCAATTTTAAGGATTCGGCTGATCACTTTGAAAATTTTGAAGAGTTTACAACAGACTTAGATTAAAACTTTTGCATTGTAGAATTTTTGAAAATTCCTAGTTTCTTTGCTACTTTCCGATTTCTGGAGGACAGCTCGCTACAAAAAAATACAGGCTCTTTTAAAAATCGGTGGATTGCTGAAAAACTAGGAAATTTCAAAAAATTGAATCGAATTTCTTAATCTACGTCTATTTTACACCTTCCAAAAATTTCCTAGTGATCGGACATTTTACAGCCGACCTCCAGTCACCTGAAAATGATCAAAATGAACTGAAAAACGCGTTTTTCATATATTTATGGCAAGTACTGTAAGTACCAATTCAGATTTTTTTGCTCTCAGAGCTTCTTGTTCTGCACATTATTGAAGATTTCTTAAGACGCACCTCCGTCATTTCTTCATTTTCCATTAGCTTAGGAGAGAAAACTGAATCTGAATCCGAGTGCCCTTTTGGGCACGCTGTTCTGCACACAAACCTTCCACTAACCAATTCGGGAATATGAAAGGTGCGGAAGGTAGAGACGACGACCCAAACGACCAGAAAAGAGACGAACGTCGTCTTTGTCAAGTCATAAATGCGGGGAAAGAGGTTCATAGAGGTGTGAAGCGTGCACTTCTTTTGCGTTTCTCTTTCTCCACACATTTCAAAATTTCAACAAACAGAGTTTTGAAGTTTTTTTAGAAGTTTATAGAATTGGGGTGTGTCAGTTCGTCTTTGCGGAAATAAAATGACTAATACGTTGAGAATTTGATTTTTGACCAAGTCTCATTATTTCGTCTAATCGAGGTCATTCGTTAATTAGCGAATACCCAGAACTTTTTTGGGCTATCTGAAAGAACATTAAATTGCGTTTTTTAAAAAAAAGTGTAACATTTTCTGAAAACGAGAACTATTTTACCGTTGCAATAGCTTGTTCAGTGTGAAGATTTTTTGAAAACTTTTTTTATATTATTCAAAAAATATTATTCTTAAATGCATTTGCTGGCACATAACTCGGATAGTACAGTCATTTTTGGGTACAATACAAAGTGATTTAGGGGTACGAAGACTTGAATTGATGATTTTGTAAAATTAATTTGCTTTGTACCCCGATGACCCCAAAACTTTTGTACCCGCCGATTTATTTGCCGTAATTTCTGGACCAAAAACTGCATGATGTGAAGAATGAAAAATTTTCGTTTCAAAATCCCATTTTGCAAGAATAGACCTATAATTTTCTTTCAAAAAGACGTATTCCTTCCTCTCTTCCGTTCTATTTTTCATTTTTGGTTCCTCTCATCAGGTAGGTCTTCCTCTGTTGTTTCTCTTATGATTTATTCAAATTCGTGTGTTGAACATGAACAATGGGAGCCCAACGAAACCTAGTCGCTTATTCGCTCTCTTCTCTTTGCTAATTTTCGATTCAATTCTGCCTCTATTTCTCTTATGCCCTCTAGACCCCTCTTCTTCTTCTTCTTTTTCTTCTTCTTCTTCTACCACTGAATAATATTCATTCATAAATATTCTGGTTCTGCATTTTGCGGTTGACTCGCACTGAAAAATCAATGAATATCAGGTTTTGCGTGGAGAGGTACCCCATATTCAGGCGGAAAGTGAGGGAGTGATCATTATCGGATAGTCACCTCAAATTGTTTTGTACTATTTGAAGCAAGTTTACTATTTTACAAAAAAGCGAACGACTATTGTTGCATTCAGTTTCTAGTGGTGGCATAAGGAATGTGTAACATTTTGTAAACTTTTTCGATTTTTTTTCCTTCTCCCGCTTTTTTTCTTCTCACTTTTTCTTCGAAATCGTTGAAAGCCAACTTTTCCCCCAAAGCCTTTCGCAAATCCTCTCACAATTATAATGTGCATGTTCTCCCTTGGGATTTTATGTTTGATGCTTCTTGCCACATTTGCTCATATTGGCTCATCTTTCTATTGCCGATTTATCTCACTTTTGTATTCAATCGAGAACGAATCAAAGGGTTCATTCAGAATTGTTTCATTTATCGGAGAATTCAGATCAAAACTATATATCTATTTTATCAACGTGGAAATTTATTGCACTTTTCTACTTCTAATCAGTCAAACAATTAGTTGCATACAAAATGCAGTGTGATAATCACATCGGTATTGTTCATTCTTCTTCTTTTTCCTCCTACTATACACTACTGTAAAATAGTTGCAAAGAATGTTCTGACTATCTGTTATATTGTTGAAAATGTCTCCCAAAAAATGCGGAAGAAAAAAAAAAGAAAAATGGAAAACTTCTGTTGAAACAGTCAACTGTTTGATGTTCCTCCTCTGCCCGAGCTTTTTGCTAGCTCAATCTACAAAGTGTGTCTCACTCATAGTCAACAGAAAACTATCTGTCTCCTTTTTATTTTTCTGTATATAATATTTTTGCTCCTAGGAGTTGGTTATACTAAACTTCCATTTTTTTAGAGCATGAACCGTCCACGAGTGAAGGAATTTGAGGATGATGACAAAGAAAAGAGAGATAATGCGGAAGCTGCATTCCGTGAATGGCTGAAAAGAAAAGCTGCTGAGCCAAAGACTCCAAGAGCGTCACCATCGAGGTAAGCCTGTGAAGTGAAATTATTTTGACCGAAAATGTTTTAATATTAAAAAAAAATTGTTGAAAAAGTGTTGCTCACAGAAATTTGAATTGACTTAGATGTATTTAAAATAAAAATATGCTTTGAGAGAGAAAAAAAAGAGAGAAAAAATCGATATATTTTAATCGTGAACATCTGAATTAATTGAGAATTTCTGAAAAATCGGTAGCAATAATGTATGAAAAAGCAAACTAAAATAATGAGACTATTCTTTCCAATTAACAAACAGTCAAAGCTTTATACAATAGAAAGACGGTTTCTAATTGAAAATTATATGAAGTTGGATGATGAGTTTTTCAGAAAAACGTTAACTTTCATAGTTTTCAAATCCCTAAACAAGAATGATTGAGAAGACATTAAAAATTTACCTCAAATTCGACTGAACGCCTGAAAGACCACAATCTGGCTAACTTTATAAAATATACTTATTGAAGAAAATGTTTTTAAGCACTTTTTAAAAATGTTAATTGATATGTCACGGTATTTCGAGTTCCAGAAAAAATACCAAATCTTTAAAAAAATAGAAAAAATCCAATAGACTCCAATAGAACTTCAAAGCTCTAATAGAATGCTCGCCAAGTCGTAAGCTTCAAACTTATATATCTCGTTTTCTGTGAGAGATATGAAAAAGTGGTCAAGCAATAAAATGTCTACCATAATATCAAACACATTTTGTCAGTTGACTATTTTCTGATATCTTTCGCAGAAACCGAGGTAAATTGGGTCAACGTTGAAAGTAAAGCGGTGTGGTATTAGTCTGTTTACGGTAATTAAAATTCTGTTTCGAAAATTCATGACTATTTCCCAAAACCCGAAAAATAACATTGAGACTCTACTAAATTTGTACTCCAATACGAATTTTTACTTCAGAGAGGCAATCTCCAAGCACCTGAAGGATGAAGCCCGTCAACGTGTTATGAACCAGTGGCACAACAACAAACGGTTCGCTGCCAAAATGGATGCATATGTCAACGGAACTACTTCTCCAAAAGCGGCGGATGGAAAGTCGACATTGTAGTAGATGCGTAGATCGGAGAATTCCCTAGTTATGTTTCTTCAAAGTTTCATACACCTGTCCGCAATCTCAATCGTCTCATAGCTGAACTTTTGTAACCTATGATTTCACGTTCCTCCTTTTTCATTTTTACTTTAATATCTATTCTTCCCAAACCCTTGTCCGAAAACTGACGCTTTGCACACACTTGCCACGTTTTTGTGGACTTTAATGATCTTCTATATGTTCATTCTTATTCTTCTTGGACATACTGACTGGTTTTTCTACTTTGCAACTTTTTTTCCTTAAGCAATTTTTGATTAAATTTTCCAGCAACATTCATTCCATGTTCCCCGTAATTTTCTTAAAATAGTAATTGTCATTTTGGTCCTTTTAATTGTAATTTTTCCAAAGACTCAAATGAATCTTTCAAAAATTTCAAAACTATTAGTTTGAGAGTGTTTCGTAAAAGTTATTGATTGTCTGAAAATTGAAAAAGCATTAAAAATATTAAATCAAAGCTTAGAATCATTTATCAATATATTCTTGGATAAATTTAGATGCAATTGAAACCATCATAAAATTTGAAAGCAAATTTTTATTGAAAAGGTGAAAATGAAAAAAAAACCTGATTTTTTGATGATTTGAAAACAGATAATTAGAAACAGCAAAATTTTCAGGCCTTTTCAGTGAAATTTTTTCAAAATATTTCAAAAATATTGAATTTTAAAAATTCTATTGAATTTTGAATTCAAAAACTGCATTAAACCCCACGCGCCAATCGGTGAAGTGCCCTTGATCGTTGAGCGTCAGCTGAGAACTGCATTCCCGCAATTTGAATTCTCCCAACTGCCATCACATGCGATTTTCGTGTTGTTTTCGACCTTTCGAATTGGAGAAAACATGTCAATCAGATTGGATTTTCCACTGCAGAGTCGCTGAAGAAAGACAAGGGCAGTCAGTAATCCACTAAATAATTTGATTAGAATCAAGCGACAGTCCCTCCTCAATGTCAGCTGAAATTCTCCACTCTCATTCTCCTCTAGCTCTTTTTTCTCTCTATCATTCTTCTCTCATTGTGTTTTCTTACGAACACCTTTATTTGTTCGTGCTCGGCTCTTTGCCCACCAACCACTCTTTTGTTAGCGTTTCCTCATTTTCTGTTTGATATCATTGTTGTTCAATTCAGCTTTTTCTCTCCATCTAATGTTTTTTGTTTTTGCAACAACAATCCGTTACTGTATTTCGATTCAAAAATGAGCCTTGTATTTTCAATCTAATTGCCTATTCCCGAGGATGGTAATTATTTATTAATCTCGTCCTCCATCCTTTTCATTCTTTCCGCGTTCGCATGACGTCATTGCGAAAAACTCCTTCTAGAAGGTCAAAAAAGGGTATTGGGAGAGAGAGGGAGAGAGAGAGAGAGGCAGAGAGTGATTAATCACGGCCAGGTGGTTTGTTCGTTCGCTTTTATTATTGTATGCCAGCCCCGTGATGCACAACAATCATTGCTCTGTCTGACTGTTTTTGAATATTTTCTGATTTTTGGTTTGAAATTCGAATTCTGTGTAGGCCCACTTCCTAAGAACCTATCGATCCATAAATCGTCAAGGTTATAAATTATTCTTCAATGTTATTGTTGTTTTGTTTGTCTCCCTCTCTCCAATTGATGACACCTTGTGACTGCAGCCATTTCCGACAATTGATTCGATACATTTGAATTTTAGAAAACCGGTATGTCTCTTTGATTCCTCTTAGAAGTTTGCCTATTGTCAAATTAATTGAAGAGGACTTTGAGGTAAACATTTTTTGAAAACAGTAATATCTGATTTAGTTTTGTTTTTAAACTGGTGACAGTTTAGTTTTGTTTGATACGTTGTATGAAAATTAAGGAATTGGATTTTTAAATAACTCTTTCCCATACTTGTAAAATTCCGGGCCCGGGCCCGGGCCTGAGAAAATTTTCAAGGCCCGGGCCTGGCCCGGAAGGCCCGGTGTCAAAAATTCTGTATTTTTGAGCCAAATTTTGAGCTCTCAATATAATTTTTTCCATTTTTTTTTCGTATTTCGGATTGTTTGTCTGTCTGATCAAAAAAGATCGAAAAACTCGAAAAAAAAATTTTTTGGTCGAAAAAAATCACATAAGGGTTCTCCTTATGTGTTTTTTGAAAATTTCGAAACTAGTGAAATGACGGGCCCGCCGGGCCGGGCCTCCGAAATTCCGGAAAAAGCCCGGCCCGACCCGTTACAAGTATGCTTTTTCCTATTTTTCGAACGCATCCAAACCTACCGTAAGATAGACACAAACGTATTTATCAGTTGGTTTCTGCTAATTTTACCATTTTCATGGGTCTGGGGCTTGGCTGTCAAGTATTCGTTCATTTTGGAATTCTGGAGGGTGTAAAACAGACATACCTTGAACCCTAATAAAAAGCCACTCAAACCGTAAACTTTGAGCCCATATGTCTCATTTTTTGCATAAGATACGAAAAAGTAGTCAACTGACAGAATGTTCATAATAAGAATAACAGTATTTTCTCAATACATTATTTTTGATATCTTTCACAGGAAATGAGATACCTATTAGAGTGTTTACGGTATATTGAAAACTCAAAATTGACAGAATTTTTTAAATGTCCAAGTTTTTTAGCGATTTGCTGACTTCTAGAACTAAAAAAAAATTCTGTAAATGCAAAGTTGTTAATCTAGGTTTGTTTCACAAACTTCCAATATTTCGAAGTGATTGGAATTTTGACAGTCGAGCTCCAGACTCCTGTAAATGGCCAAAATAGCCGAAAATCAACAGAATAATGTGTTTTGTACGTCTCTTTGACAGGTACTGTATGTGTTCAGGAAAATTTGTAATATTCAACTATTAAACTAATTTTTCTTAAATTTACGTACGCTTTTCGAAACACCTAGCACATCTCTCATTGGATTAGACTGATTTTTTTCGTTGATTTGAATTTTCGGTAGCCCACGAATTCCCTGGACCATGACTGATCCCCAATCTTGAAGTTCAAATAGTGATTTGTTGCATTCATGTGAACCAGAAATATATCTATCAAATTGACATTAGAAACCGACCAAACTCTAACGAAAATTATATGATACTTCTTACTACTCGCACACCATATTTAATCCTTTTTTCCTGACGTTTTTCGACCAACCTGAAAGAAAATGTTTCTTTTTTGCATGTATTCGTCACCATGCTTTCTTTCTCGGCGTTTTCTGATATCTTGATCTGAATTACTATATTTCTCATTATCTGCATACTATTAATAAAACTCTTAATTATCACTCTATGCACTTTTTAACGGATATGATCTTTTCTGGGGAGAGGTTTTTTTATTTCCTTTCTTCCCCTGCATATTAATCTGATTCCTTTTCTTTTTCTTCGTCCGGATCCAACAAAAGGTTCACTTCTCAGTTTTTCATAGAAAAGGAAAATTTAATCTAGAGCAAAAGCTCTGCTCATTTCCGTTGTAAACATTCAGAATGCTAGAAAAAAGATAGAGAAAGGGTGTATATTTGAAAGAAAGTATGATGATTCGTTGAATTCCATTGGATATTCAAGTAGACTTCTTTTCGCTGAATAGAATAAAAAATGAGTGATCCCTTGCGGGGAATGTTAAATGTGTTCTGAAAACATGTAACATTATGATTATTAAAAATTGTAGAACAAAAATAGTTTTAGTTTGAGAGAACATTATTTGAATGAAATACCCAAAAAAAACTACGAGTTCTGTTTTTTTACCTAAATTTACACATCCGAAAATCGCGTCATCATATTGAAAAAACAAACAGATTTCTGACTTGTTTTCAAGCAAAGCTCACTATTTTTTCAATAAATCTAGGTAATCTAGATCTGTTTACAACTATTTGGACGATTGATCAATTGAAAAAATGAGAGAACATTTGGATGTTGGTCTAAATTTCTGGTTCCAGTTTATTTTCATTTTGACAATTCTGTTTTCTGGAATAGATGCCTAGATTTTCTACGTTTTCTACCTTTAAAACATGGATAACAGAAATTGAAAAAAAATATTTTTTTTAATTTCAGAACCTTTTTTAATAAATTACCATCACATTTCATACCTCTCCTTCTTTCTGCTCTGATACCGTAACTTGTTCAGATAGTCGTTTCTATCCGTACTCGTACGTATTTCAAACTCACGATGAACACTAGAACTTTGTTCATTGACATTATCAATGTTTGATTACATGGATTTTATCACCAAAGTTTTGAAACATTTTCTGTGTGTGCTCACTTCGTTTCGAAACTTTTATCAATCGGTAAACTCATTTTCAAACCTTATTTGTACATCCCTTTGACCACGTTTAACTTACCCGATCCACTCTGAAGAAGCAATTTGGGATAACCTCGAATGCCTGTCACATCTACCAGTTTTTTTTCTGTCATGTCAACTTGTCCGAAACATACTGTTTACTGCAAATATCTATGACGCACACGGGCGCACACATGCGTGTACATACCACGTTTTTGGGCATTGAGGACAGCAAAAAAAAAAAAATATACAGTCACCGGTTTTTAAGTCGTCGTGCAGCATATAAAAAATAAGGTCGAAAACTGTAAATATTTGTTCATCACATGCACATATTCCTACCTGTCTTTCTCTCAATTCCCTCTCATTCCCAACTGATAATAACTAACAACTTGAATGTCTCCATTTTTTGTCGTTTTTCTCTGATTTCGAAAAGTTTCGACACTTTAATTAATTCAGAAACAAATCGAATTAGCTCAATTCCATCGGTCACAACAACAAGATCAACCGACGATGGAATTGTCGTCGCTAGCGGATGATGGCCAAGTAGCAGTTCTAACAGGTAGGATTACAAACTTTAGTGTTAAATTCTGATTTCGAAACGATTTGCCAACTTAGAACTAATAACCATCTTGGACCACGCGAACATTTAAAATGGATAAAAAACTCAACATATCCCATTCAGTTTCTCAAGTGGAGGCAAAGGAAACTCGATCCTCGTTAGAAACTGAGCAATAA